TAACCACTCTATAGGAAGTTTGCATGATAATGCGCTGGGTAGCAAAACGGATGCCAATATCAAGTATCCCGGCCTGCCGCTTCTTTCTTTCCGTTCCTAATTAATCAATCCATGGTTAATAAATGTTCCCGCAATGTGAAGTGTACTGGCAGTCCGGTGAAGAATTGCAATGTATTTCAAACACAGTCAAATTCATGGCAAGTAAGCATGCAATAGCGTTTTGTCAGCTGTTCGAGAAAAAAGCATGAAGTTTAGCTAAAACCCATGTTTTTTATAAACACCATTCAATTTGATATGAAAGTTGTGAGCATTTTGTGAAGAAACACGGATTAATGTTTAATCAATGATTTCTTACTATGTACTGATATGAATGCAACTAAATGAATATGAAACAATAATTTTTGCTTGAGAATTTAGAGTTATGAACACTATCGCACTTGCCAGCTGCATCTTGTCCAAAACAGTGGCAAGATAGGCTAGTTTCTGTAGGTGAGCAGTAATGAGCAGTGCAAAGTAACAACAAGAAACACCAGTAACAACAGTATGGAGCAAGCGCAGACTGCCAACTGTATAATTCATTGCACAAAAGCTCACCTGAATATCAGTCAGACAACTCGTGCAAATGAAGGCCCAGTTGGGAATGAACAAGTTACGAAATCAACAATGCCTGCTTTTACTAACAGGACCCTCATTCACATAAAGCATGCAGCGATAGGCCCCTACCGAGGTACGTCACAGCATGATGTCACTGGCACATGTAAAAGGTGTGGCTGGAAAAACACTCCCGCTGGTGGCTCAGCCCCGTACAGTCGTGCGGTGTTTGAGGCAAGTTTTAATTTTTCAAAGCTTACACTTCACGTTACAATGTCGACATTAGCTGTAGTATGTGTCAGCAAACATCTAGCTGTGTGGTAAACTGTGTGGTAAAATATTTGCCACGCTGTCTGTTCATCTTGAAGAAGTGAACGCACGTGGTGGCCTGTGCAAGGAATAGCGGCATAGTCTTCAAAAATGTGCACTGTTGATTGCGGCATGTAGTGTGCATTGAAAGGTATTGAGAATATCCGTTCAACTGAGAATATTGTGTGTAGTGTGTGCAGTGTCAATAACAATGTGTCTTGTTTGCGAAGACGTTAGAACTCATGGCAGGGACCGGTCGATGAAAAAACTTGATTCGACATTTTAGTCAAGGTAAATATGCACTTGACGTGACCATCTGCGAGTGGGTACATCTCGGTGTTTGCGCTGTGTGCAGAAAAAAATTGCATGGTCACTGGGCTGGAAGATATCATTTGCTGAAGCTGCATGTATGAATCGCCCCGACGAGTACGCAAGCCCAATAAAGGTATAACTTGTTTCATCGAAGGCCTCATATGTCTTCATGTAATAAGCAGAGATTCTTGTTTCACATATACTCAGTGCCTTTACCGCTCGATATTCATGAAGTGACAATGCAAACAAAAAGTCTGTGTGTTAGGTCCTAAGGAAGCAATGTAAATATGCAAATAAGTTGTAGGTGTCAGATGCAGCGATGTAACTGCGCAAAAGATTACGTATATTTTAGGCTACAGGATTAGAATCGCATACATTTCAGTGGTCTATCAGGAACGTCCCAAACAACTTCCTTGCAACCCAGCCCTTGCACAGAGGGAGGGAATGGCTGGCACGGTGCTCGAAGCGATGTCACACTATTTGCAAACATAGAGAGGTTTCTTACTTAGGCAACATTTTGCACAATATATTTTTTAGATGCAAGACTGTACTCGTCCACATTGATCATACTGATGTCTTTTGTTGTTACTTTGTGCTGTGAATTACTAGGCATTTCGTCACCATGATCTTTAAAATCTAATTTCAGTGTTCTCTCTCATATTGCTGACAACTGTGTTGTTGCATGAATTGGGCATAAAAGCAACACAGAAAGGCTGTCACAATAAATACACCAACATGGGTATTCTCCTGCAAACAAAAGTCGGGACTGGTCCTGTCATTACCCGTCTTCCTTCTCTCTTTGCCTTGTTTGTGCTGAAACAGCCAAACACCTGATGAGTTAGATGAGAAATATTAACGCAATAAAGCTATAAGTGCTTGCATCAGCAACTACACAACAGCGTGATAACCGCACCCCTGCCACACAGCAGCGAAACATATTTTGAACATGCTGGCCGTTTATTATTTTATAAAAAGCAACTCTGGCAGATTACAAAATCTCACACTGTGCATGCAAGTTTTCTTCAAAGTCAGGCGTACAATGTAGGTGCTGGCCGGTACATTATTAGTTACAAGCAAAAGCGTTTTGCAGCTACACATGCAGATTGCACGAACACCTCTCCCTCTCTACACTAGGCACACACATTATATCTTCTAACAAGCACACGCCACTGTTCAGGGGCATAATAACGCTCTACCGTGAACGTGTGCTAATCAACCCACTTAGGCGGTTGGCTAGGTGAATCGAGCCAAGTTACCAATTGTATCGCCCACGAACGTAAACAAAATGCTGCTTTGCATCAAATGGCACTGCAGGCTTCGTTTAATCAACAACGTAGCAAGCGCCGTGTGCGTCTTCCTCACTACATTGCACATATGAAAAAATCGATCACCATATACATGCATGTTGCCGCAGTTGTCTCGAATTAGCTCCAGTAAGGCCGCGCCGATGCGCCATGGCTCTGCTGGCGTTAGCGTTGTCAAAGCGAATCGGCAACCGCACTCGCAAAGGCGCGTAAGGTTGCCGTTTCACGACGCCTCGTTCAAGTGCAGCAACACACACTTACACTGAGTGGCATACTTGGTCTACATAAAAAAGTGTCCCCCTTACCTTTAGTTTCTTTCACACTGTCCTGAGGGAAGCAACCACAGGCGTCAGCCGTCACCTCGGAGTCCTTCGAGCACCCACCGAACCCGCCGATTCCTTGGACGACTCGCACTTGATCCGAACTCAAACAACCGCGGGAATAGGGCGCAATCTTAGCACATCACACGAACGAGGAACGGCACTTCCTTGCGTAAATTTAACATTTCGTGCTCTCGTGTGTAGCAGCGCGAACACATCAGAGACGCACCGAAACGGCATGCCCCCGGAAACAAAGACAAACAACATGTGGCTTTAGCTGTAAATGGATTTGGCTTGGATATCTGTGTGAGGAAAATAAAAAAACATCTGTCGCTGCTAAAAAGTGAAAAAAAGTATGTTATCTGGCAAAATAACTTTAAAAGTGATAAACGGTTATTCAAAAAACAAGTTACAACTTATGAATATTTTCGCAGGTCTTTGTTTTGTTTTTGTTCTAGCAGACGACAGCCTTCTACTTCTTCTACGACAGACGTAGTGCGGTTTCACGTTCGGTGCGTGTCGCTGACGCAAAGCTCTACAGTAGTGATATCAGAGTTATCAATTCTCAATAAATCATAGGATGGCTACACAGCAGTAACACTTTGACATAGTGCAGTACGCAATCTTTCAAGGTATGACATTTCTTTGCTCTGAAGCAAATCGAAGCAAGCGGGCCGGCGCAATCAGCTGATGTCACCACTACGCGAGGCATGGTCGTGCGCAATAGCGTCGCGCCCCGCGCTCGATTTGTCATCAAGCGATAGAGCTACTAAGTGGAATACAGCTAGATGCAGGGAATAATGGCGTATCACTCTAATTCCCTGTGGTGGCCGACTCAATAGCAAGAGAGCCCCGGGAAACAACCTTCAACTGCTCAAGCTTGTGTGTGGGTGTAAAAATACTTGTTTTCATCCGCGGCGGGGCAGCAATCTATAGTTGAAAGACATGCGAAAAGCATGTGACGTATATACAATCATAAAACATATGCACACAACAATAGATACGATCGCATATCGTACATAAATATGCCAACACATAGCGTGTAAAAAGCAAATTTATATACATAACTTAAACTGACGTGCACTGTTCACCGCGAATAGCTTAGCATTCTGCTTCTGGTCACCGACGCGTGCGGACGCAGGATGGCAGGCTCGTCAAGAGCTGTTACAGCGGCCGACGCTGTCCGCGGTTTCTCGTGCACATCACTTCCCAAGGACTACCGTTTAATTCTGCCACATTTACCCACAGGAGAAGGACTCAGACGCACGTTGGTTCTGCACTGCGACATCGCAGCGCGTCCGTACGGGATTAATGACTTCCGAAAGCCGCACAAGAAACTAGGCATCATTCAAGAGGTAAGCGGCATAGGAGCCTATCAGATGTCGCACGTCTGGCTTCTTAACATGAAGACAGAAGAAGCGAAGAAGACACTTCTGGACGCTGGCCTACTCTCCGTGAAAGACCGGCCCTGCGTCGTCGTTGACCCAGAAAGGCAAGAGGTGCGTCTCAAGTTGCATTGGGTAGCCTTTGACGTCAACGCAGAGGCTGTGCGGCGTGCTTTCCGGGTTTCCGGGAGTACGGTAAAGTGAAAGAAGTTATCAGCGACAAGTGGAGGGACGAAGACTTCGAAGGAATTGAGCCAACCACAAGATTCGTTCGGCTACTACCTAAAGAAGGCGTTACTACGGATCGCATACCCCACCAGATGCGTCTCGGGAGCGGAGGGCACTGGTGGTCGTGCCAGGAAGAGCGCCGCTGTGCCTGCGTTGCCGGAACACGGGACACATTCGTCGCGACTGCAGGGTGCACAGGTGCGCTGGTTGTCGCGCTTTTGGGCATGAGCAGGCGGACTGTACTCGTTCCTATGCCAGTGCAGCAAGTCCAGCAACAAATGCCGACCACAGTGAATTGCTCATGGATGAAGAGGAAGCAGAGAGGGCCGCGGCGTCGAAGGCAGGAGTGGAGGCGTCTCATGCAGTGGCGACCAGCGAAAGAAAGATGGAGACACCTAAGCAAGACACAGATGAAAATACGGTTATGGGCCCTGCAACGCAACGGCGTTCGACTCAAATGGAAACCCAGCACAAGGCTGAACCAGTCATCGGGTCCGACGCTACTTCGGACATGTATACAGTCGAAGCTACGCCAGTAAAGCGATGCCTGAATGAGGGAGACGCGGCGTCCCAGCAGCGTCTCACCCAGGAGGATCAAGGGCAGTGGCGAGTGGCTGGCTCCAAAAAGTCTTGGGGTGCTGGCCGCCTGCGTTCGTCGTCGCTTTCACGCGGCGGCGACGGGACGACGCCTTGAGCGTCGGCCGCACAGTGGTTTAGGTGTTGGTAAGGTAAGCGTCTTTCGCTCGGCTCTCTCTCATCACGATGGCAACAATTAGACTGGCGACGCTAAACGTACGTGGGCTTTCTGCCAAACGGCGGCAAAACCAGCTTTACCGCCTGATTATAGAACAAGATCTAGACATTGTCGCTGTACAGGAAACTAAAGTAGAGAGTGAAGAGCACGCTGAGCGAATGGTGCAGCCTTTCACGAGACTGTTTGATGTGTGCGTTTGTCACGCGGTGGGTACATCTGCAGGTTGCCTCTTGTTAATTCGGCAGAGCCTTAATGCGAAAGTTGAGTCCGTAACTACTTGCGAGGCGGGTCGTTTTACTATATGTGATTTATCCTTACCAAGAGAAAAATGGAGAGTAATCTGTGTGTACGCACCCACTGTTATTCAAGATAGAAAAGAGTTTTTTGAAAAACTTGATGTGTATTTGAAATGCGAACGCAAACTAATTTTGGCTGGGGATGTCAACTGCGTTTGTTCGAGTATAGATAAATCAAGTTCGAGGCCATACAGAGATTCAAGCAGTTCCGTTCTACTCGATATGGTAGCGAAAGCTCAGCTAGAGGACGTGGGTGAATGTCTTTGCAGTGGAAAAGGGGTTACGTTTACCCACTTTCAGCGTTAAAGCCATGCTAGACTTGACAGAGTATACGTGTCCTCCGAAATCGTTCCTTCGTGCCATGATTACAGAGTTACACCTGTTACTTTCAGTGATCATTGTTTGATTTCATTCTCAGTGGGTAAACATAAAGGGAATAACAAGCATTTCTCTTGGGACCTCTAGAAATTTAATGTAAAGCTACTAAAGGATGAAGAGTTTAATCGAATTTTTCTAGAGGGCATAGAAGACTTGGCAAATAGAACACTCGAATCCTGGGGACATAAGTGGGAAGTATTTAAACAGACCATTAAACTGAAAGCACTTGAGAGAGCCAGTATTCTTAGACATGCTGAAAAAGAACTTGAAGTGCGCTTGCGTGAAAACTTGCAACAGTTAGTAGCGGATGAATGTACTCATGCCGGAACATTTTCAGAGGAGATAAACATAACTAAACAGAAGCTTGAGTTGATAGACCAAGAACGTTATCGTGGAGCATTGATTCGAGCTCGAGCGGAAAACTTGGTAGCGGGAGAAATGCCAACAAAACGAGCTCTTGGAGCTGAGAAGAGACATGCCTGTAAAAATGAAATAAGAGAAATAGAATATAAAGGAACAAGGTGCCATACGAAAGAAGCAATATCCGGTGCTTTTTTCGAATATTACAAAGAGTTATTCACACCAACCAGTGTACACGCAGAACGCTTTAATAGCGATTTCATTTAATTAATGCCAAGACTTGATGATGAAAGAAAGGAAATTTTAGAATTGCCTATAACAGAGCGAGAAGTTGAAAAAGCAATTGATAAGTTAAACAATGGTAAGTCTCCAGGACCAGATGGCCTGAGTGCTGCAGTGTACAAGGAATTCAAACACGCAGTTTCACCTATTTTGAGGGAGGTATTTAACGAGGCTTTTAAGTGTAAACAACTTGCACTGTCGTTTTTGTCAGCCCACACGGTCTTAATACCTAAAACAGAAGATCCCGCAAAGTTAAGAAGTGTTTTTGCATATAGACCAATTAGCCTAACTAATGTTGACTATAAAATATTGATGAAAATATTGGCCAGAAGACTCCAGACAGTTATGACAAAACTGATTGGGCCCCACCAAACTTGTGGAGTAAAGGGAAGGAAAATAATGACCAACATAAACACAACATGATCAATCCTAGAAAGTTGTGACGCTATGCATCTCAATGTTGCCACGCTTCAAATTGACCTCAAAAAGGCATTTGATCGCGTGCCGCACGACTTGCTCCTTTCATTACTTGAGCACATTAACGTAGGGAGTTTGATTAGCGACGGAGTGGGCATGGCTTACACTGGATGCACGACGAGATTGGTATTAAAGAAAACTGCGGGTGAGCGTATACCTGTGCTGCGGTCAGTGAGACAGGGGTGTCCTTTATCGCCCCTGCGTTTTGCTATTTTTATTGAACCTTTCTGTTTAAGTGTAATTAATAACCCTGCAATAAGCGACTTTAAATTGCATGAAGCTGAGGTTGGCCTCCTTGCATACGCAGACGACATTGCAGTTTTCTGTACAAATTATGAGAGTATAATGCATGCTGTGAATACCGTGAAAACTTTTGGCCAGGCGAGTGGTAGTGCTGTAAACTGCGATAAATGCCTTGGCTTCTGGCATGGGGAATGGGACGTCACGCCAAGAGTATTTCTAAACATTGAATGGCAGGAAACACCAGTGAAGTATTTAGGAGTGCCGCTGGAGTTCTATCATGACAGTGAACCGTATTGGAAAAAAGAAACACAGGCATTGCGCAATGATGTAGAAAAATGGCAAGGTTGGGGTACTTCAATATTCGCACGGGCCACAACGTGCAACTTGTTTCTGGTGAGCAAGCTGTGGTATGTAATGCAGGTTTTGCACTGCAGTAGAATAAGTGTACAGAAAATTCACAGAGTATTTGCAATTTTCATATGGAGCTCTGTATGGGAAAGATCAAGCCGCACAAACCTGTTCAGAAAAGTTAAAGATGGCGGGCTCGGATTAGTTCATTTGTACATAAGACAACTTGTCAATCGTTTTCTTTTTCTGCGTGATGTAGATGATCCCTTTTTGAGAACTGTTATACAACTAAGGTTATCCAGAGTGCTGCCGGGATTTCTCGTATCATCATCAAATATGCAAGGACCGATACAAGGGTATTTAAAGGAAGTTGTTTCGTCTTTCCGCTTTTCGTCAGTGAGATTTTCGTTAGAGTATCTGGCTGAAGTACCACGTAAAAAATTGTATAAAGACCTTGTCGATGTTTTACTGCCTGTACCATTGTATCGTCAGCTATATTGTACAGGCCCAGGACAGGATGTTCTGAAACGTGTTAAAAGAATGCTTGTAGCGCCAGGGGTCAAAACTTTTTTCTTTAAATTACATACTGGTACCTTACCAGTTAAAACTTGGTTGCAGGGTAAGGGAATATTTGTGCCATGGAACACAAATGGCCACTTGTGTAATAAACCGGAAACAATTGAACACTTGTTTATAGATTGCTGGAGCGGGGTCTTTTTCTGGGACATACTGCAAAAAACCTTGAAAAAAGAATTACCGTTAAGTCCACATGGCATCCATTTTCTTTCGGTTAAAAACGAGGCAGGTGTACCGTATGATCTTATCATGCTTCTGGGCCTGCACAGTATATGGAAAACCCGATGTGCCTTTGAAAACGCGGATGTAGAAGTGCTAGCTGTGCGACAATATTTTTGCAAATCTCTGTGCCATTATCTTGAAATGCTGAAAAGCCAAGAGGATGTGCCAGACTGGATTGGGTGCATTGAGCGATTCTTACGAATGCCCAAGTATTGATTAATAGTCAGCCAAGAGCTGGCGGTACCTCAATGAATTCTGTGGGTGTATTTTGTGACGCACTTGAATTTGGACCAATATGTAAAATGTGAACAGTCATGATATGCAAGGCAATAAAGAAAAAAAAAACGCGAATAGCTTAGCAAGTTAACGCACTCAGTTCACGTACGCGAGCACAACTAAGTGGCGCAAGTTCGAGTCTCGCCAAGTCTAATTCCTTTTTGTTTTTTTTCAACGTTTTTATTGTACTGCTATTTTGTCTAATGCCTTGGGTTCTAAAACAAAATAAAAGCAATATTGCGTTCAAGTACGTATGTGGGACTGTGTTTTTTGCGCAACAGTTATTAGTATTTTTATTTTCATTAAAAAATTTTTTATTTATTTTATAATATAACAAATATAAGGACTAAGGGGAACATTGGGTCTGCTTGATTGTGAAGAGACTCGAGAACTGAGAAAACTCAAACCAAAAAGTTTATTTGAGGAAAAACTGAGCACTTCACAGCCGGACCAGTTTCTTCAAGGGTAGGCCCCAGGTATGCGCGAGACTTGCTGTATGACTGATCTCAAGCTGTGGCAGTTGAGGGAAGGCAATATCACCGAAAAGCAGTTCCAAAATATATTGTGGTTGATGTTTTTTGATTCCTCCAAAATAAGGGCTGCACAATTGTGATCGAGCCAAACCAAGAATTGCGTGCACGAAGTCTTGAGACAGAAAATGAATAATGTTGTTTGAAAAATTGCCCTTAATAAAAGGAAGAGTTATGGAGCGCTACGTAGCTTAACTCACAGTAGGAATTTTATATATACATATAGATAGTTTAAAATGGATAATGTTGCACACACAGACATTGTAAATTTCTTTGCAGCACAGTTGAAGCCTCTATGTAGAACTGAAGCATCAAGAGAAGCTCATGCGTCCTCACTTTATTGCGCTTTACATTGCTTGTATGCGTATATGCAGCCATGATATGATATATTTTAAAGCATTTGTTTAACCTATAATCTTCTTATTCATTAAAGCTTGCCCATAAGTTGTGTCTTATGTAGCACTACAATTGAAGCGTAATCTGCATGGTGGTCTGAAACAATGCTTTTGAAAATCTCAAAACGACCCAGCTCTATACACGACAATCCGTGTATAAATGATAAGCACCATTATGTGTCCGTACATATCAGTTGTGCTCTCATACCTAATTATTTTTCAAACCACTACCTCTGCCCCTACCTCGTTTCTGTCGTGAAGCTGTGGCAAGTTGTATAGCTGTATTTGTATTGTAGGAGCACATACTATCAATAAAAAATTATTTTTAGGCTACATGCAATTAGTTTTCATAGATTTTAATTTCTTTTGTCGGTGCTCAGGAGAGCTAAGCTCATGGTCGATATTTTAAAATGACATTTCTCCTTGCCAATGTTAATGAGAACAGTTTCATTAATATTGACAAGTTCATTCACATTGAATTTAGTTCTCATTATTATTGTTTCTACCAAAAAACGAGCCCTTGAAGTTATGCTTTTTTTGCTTGATTTGTTTTCGTGTGACAGCATGCAAGTAAAATGACAGTTATTGTCATTTCTTGAGAATGACACATTTTCCGTGTGACAGACTTTAGCACCTGGTCATCTGCAGAAAAGGGCGAACAGCGCTGACTGACAACACAGACTAGCCTGCGTTATTCTTTTGTACTAGACATGTCAATGTGCATTCATGTATAACTTTATAGAGCTCGGATTTCCTGCTCAAAATGTGACAACAACTGTAGAGTTTCCACATTTTTGCAACAATCCACATGTCTTTCATACACTATTGCACATTTTCGTAAGCACCTTACAAAATCTGTATAGTTCCGTAAGACATTCAATTCTGCATTTTCCTTATAAAAGCTTCTGTACACTTCATACACTTTTCTTATCCTTCCATATCTTCCATAATGAACTCTCCGTATGCTCCATAGGTTTCCTTATCTTCCAATATTTTTCATAAAACTCACTCCATCCACGCCATAAAACTTCCTTATCCTTCCATATACTCCCTAAAAAGCATTCCATATATGCCATACATTTTCCTTATCTTTCCGTATACTTCATAAAAAGCGTTCCGTATACGCCATACAATTTCCTTATCCTTCCATATACTCCATAAGAAGCTTTCCGTAAATGCCATGCAACTTCCGTATATTTCAATAAAACTCTATATTTTTTCCGTATGTAGCATAAGGAATTGTTACGAAGTCCAATTATTTTCCGTAAGATTTCATACGGTACGTTTCAGTAGGGTCGAGAGAGAGAGAAAGATATGTGCAAGGACAGCGAGCGACGACATACGCGAGAGAGGAAAGATGAAACACGGTCACAGGAGTCAGAGGACGGGACACCACTTGTGAGAGCTCTTGTTGGTTACAGGAGATGGCGTAGGTGTAATCCAGTCAGCCAGAGCAGGGTTGTCATCGTCGTAGGGGACCGGCGGCTGGAGGTGGCGTAGGACCAATCCAGTCGGCCAGAGCGGCGCTGTCGTCGGAGATCGCGAGAACACGACTGGTCGGCAGAGAATCCAGCGAGCGACCTCCTCAGTTGTACGTACGTTGCACAAGGTGTTGAATAAACTGCAGCCATTTTTCTTTCTTATGAGCCCGAAGAAGAGGTTTTTGGGAACAATCTCGCTCTTCAGACCCGCTTCCTAGTGGCTTCGCTTGACCGCTGTCATGGATCCTCTCGATTCGACGGAGTTTTTTTTATTTGCGGAGCAAACAGACTTGGCTTCACGGCTGCCGCCGTCACGGGGAAAGCTTCCTTTTTTGCTGTCCTTACTCAAGAGCTCAGCATCCCGGGAGTATCTTTGAACCGACGGCAATATTTCAATGATCTTAAGATCTTGTTGACTGTTTCGGCATTCTTCCTGTCGCTTTTATGATTTTTCCTTCTATAGCTACCCTTCAAACAGGGTGAGACAGTTTTGCAGTTCCCATTCTCAGGAACTCTGAATATGCTGGAAGGCATTGCTTAGTCAAATTGCTATACTAAATAAATATGCAGCCACATTAAAATTCATAACTAGCAGTGTTTTATCACATGTGGTCATAACTTTCATCGCCAATGCCGCTGTTTGACATAAGATGCATCCAAGGCAGACACCATAGATATTTTGTTACGTGCTCTATTTTCTTTTCTAATCTAGTGAACTTTCATCAACCAGCTTAATTTTTCGAGGAGAAGGAACATCTGAGATTCGAAGCCAAATACTGAATGCTACATGAACGGAGTGCCCAAATAACCCACTTCAAATGCTTCTTTTTAAGCTTCATATCTAGGCTATTTTGAACAGGGTGTGTTAGGAAAAGTGGAAAGTGCCGTATCAGCCGACGCGAAGCCAACTCCGTTTCTGGCGCTGATTGCGCTTGTGTCGCAATTTTTCACGCAGCGCCTGCTAAGTGGCCGGAAAAGAGCGGCCACGCATATCACGTTTTCTCTAACAGTTTCCGCGAGTGTACGAACACGATAGCATGAGCGGACTGAAGCTTGCTTCATCAGGCACGAATGACTTCAGTGATTATCGCATTCGTAGTTGCATTCTCGATCTATCTCTCACGTCACGTGCGTGGAACTGTTTTATTACGCATCCTGGAATGTTTTGTTGATAATTGTTTTTCGTTTTTGTATAGGAGAAATGGGGATACGTACCTGTGCACTTTGTCGGTGTACAACAAAAGTCAAAATCCAGGCCTCCAAGACTATTCCACAAATAACGGAGACTAAGGGCAAAAAAAAACAGGATCCTGTTCCACAATATTAATTTTGCGATTTACTTGTATCACACCACGTGTTAGCACTAGCTAGTTAAAGCCGGAACATTCACTTTCAAAGCGTACGAGCGCGATGTTCACCTGGCAAGAGACAGGTCCGCGTTGAACTGCCGTGTAGCACGAACCATGGTCAGAGGCTTCGCAAAGCTTCATAGTCTAAATTAGCTTCTCCGTCAAGGCTACTCAGAACAATTACAGGAGACATACAATATTACACTTTCACATGCAAGTGACGGAGGACAACGTGAGCAACTCGATTACCCAAGATGTACACAAGGGCGCGTACCAAGTGGTCTCACCATTGTGCTTCGTGCGACAGCTACGAGAATCGGTAAAACTGAGTTAATTTACGTGTGTGACAATTCACAAAGCAGAAGTTGCGTCAACTGAGGGTTCTCTTCGTAGCTCGTGAAGCCATTGCGTCTGCTCATGTTTTCACCGTCATTCTGCAGAGTGATCCAACAAGCACTTCTTTGTGGTGCAGTGGCGTGCCCCACAAGCGGATAGAGATCAGTAACTTTTGTTCTGAGTGTTCAGTGCGCGAACACACTTCATGTGTAGCTCAATTATTGCTTTGAATTCGCTACTTGCGCAGCCAATTGTGCAAAGGAGTCGCACTTCGGTCTACACAAAATTGTTCCGAAAGGTGGTGCTATGTGTTGTAAAAATTCAGAGCATTGCGTGTAAAGTGAAGTCATGTTAAGGCAATAACCAGCGTCGTTCCAGTGCCGGCTAACAGCTTTCATTTTAGTGAAGTATGTATTTGTGATGCGGGTTCTTGTTGCTGATTTGTTTTTCTCCCGGGCTGAGCCTCAGAGAGTTTTGTTAATAAGGACAAAGCCGTTCGGTTTCCAAGAAACACACAAAAAGTTTAATTGAAAAGTAAAAAGGCAAAGATTCCTCACAAAACAAAACACTTAATAAACAGTTGACTGGACATGACGAAACACATCTGTAAACACCCAACAAGAACGTTCAAAGTCAGTAACTAAACCTAACGTTCGAAAGGGGCTGAGTGATGGGAGTAGCGCAAGAGTA